ATGTCGGGGTTACGTGTTCAAGGCCAGCAGACTGTCTCTGCAGCCTTCCGAGGTCCAGGCTTCACGGGCGCTGAAACTGCCCCTTAGTCTTGTGGTCCAGGAGAGTAGCCTCTGCACTTGAAGCAAGAGGATGGAGGAAGAGCCTGAAAAGTGGGCAGAGAGGCTGGCTCTTAGGGAAGGTTCTTAGAAGCTTGTCACAAGGAAGTCTGAAACCAGGCTGCATGCGGCAGCTATATGCATATTGTAGCACCACAGAAGAATCTGTCACCTAGGAAAAATAAGCCCAGCTTTTGCCAAACTCCAAGCCAGTATTTATAGGTTGTCCAAAGACAGTAACCTCATAAGAAGCAGAAGATTATACCATTTTTTTCTTGGGCGGGGCAGGGGGAGGGGCAGGGGAGGGAGGGGCTCGGGGAACTAGCCCAGAAAGGCTTTAATGAGAGCCTTTTCCTTACCAAGGGTTCCAAAACCAAATATTAAGAACACAGACTTAGGGGGCGCCTGGGTGGCTCAGTCAGTTAAACATCTGACTTGGGCTCAGGTCATAATCTCAAGGCTCGTGAGTTCAACCCCAAGTCGGGTTCTGTGTTGGTAGCTCAGAGCCTGGAGCCTGCTTCAGATTCTGGGTCTCCCTCTCTCCCCGCCCCTTCCCCACTCATGTTCTGTCTCTCTGTCTCTCAAAAATAAAAAATAAACATTTAAAAAAATTTTTTAAAAAAAGGAACACAGACTTAGGTCACTGTAGTGAGCAGTTATTTTTACATACAGTTTTGGGTATTGTCAGGGTATTAGAATTGATGACAGCAATCTTGTGGTAAAAAATGTGGGTGGGGAAGGGTGGGGGGTATTAGGCAAGAATGTCCATAGCACTGTAGGAGTTTTGTTAATACACTAATCTAATCCTTGCTAAAACCATCAACCTCCCTCTCTTCCCTTCATTGTTCTAGGGTTGTTTGTTTGTTTAAAGGCAGGAGTTAAAATTAAACTTAAATTTAAATGGAATGAATTTTAAACGAATTAATTAATTGAAAGGTAATTCGTCGGATGATTCATTTAACACAGAGATTAAAATCAAAATGCACTGTGTCCTCTCCACCACTGGTTTCAAAGATGGTCCCCACCAACATCACTTGGAAATGTATTACAAATGCAAATTCTTGGGCTCCACCCAGACCTTCTGAACTCATCTGAGAGATTCTGGTTCACGATAAAGTTTTGGAACTGATGCTCTAGCCCAGCGATCCCCCACCCTGACGGCACGTTACAATCACCGAGAAAACTTGGGAAAGTCCTGCTGAGCCCCGTCCCCAGAGACTCTGATTTGATTGGTTTGGGATGTGTTCTCGGGCATGGAGATTTTTGAACGTCCCTCTCCAGACTGTAAGGAGAACACAGGACTGAGGACCGTGGCTCTGGCCAGCTTCGGTCGTCTGGACCTTTGTGGCCAAATAAAGCCACGCAAAGCAACTACATTCTAGGAGTTGTGGGGGACAAATATCCCTCCCAAATAAAGACTTCAAGAGTAGTCGTTTTTCCTCTGTCTCCTCATAAGCTCCCTTTGACCCCAGGTCAGGAGGACCGAGCTGCCCAGACTCCATGAGCTGAGGGAGGAGCTCCCCCAGATCCCATCTACCTTCTCTCTTGCATCTCCACAATTTTTCTAGCTCTCCTTTCCTACTTAACCTGGAGTTCGGGTCAGTTATATCAAACGAGTCAGACCCAAACAAGTCGTACCCAAGATTTCGGTGGCGGAAAGAACATTGTATACGGATATTGTGGGAGAGGCAGAGGCAGATATGAACAAGAGCAGGGGTTATGATGCCAGTATAAGTTTCTGTGGGGAGGCTCTTTTTAAAGGAACCCTGTGGGGCGCCTGGGTGGCTCAGTCGGTTGGGCGTCCGACTTCGGCTCAGGTCATGATCTCGCGGTCAGTGAGTTCAAGCCCCGCGTTGGGCTCTGTGCTGACAGCTCAGAGCCTGGAGCCTGTTTCCGATTCTGTGTCTCCCTCTCTCTCTCTGACCCTCCCCCGTTCATGCTCTGTCTCTGTCTCAAAAATAAATAAATGTTAAAAAAAAAAAAAAATTTGAG